TTTTTTTTTTTTTTTTTTTACGTTAACTGCAGAACAGACCTCAGACTACTAGAAGCATTAACCGACAAAATGTTACTTCTTCCTCTTCATTCCTTTTCACTAGGGGGGACAACTGGCCTGTCATTTTATGAATGTACAATTTTGTCTCTGGAGTTTACTTGCTCACAGAAGAACTGATCTTAGTGCACAAGCCATGCAGTGGCTTTGCACCTGTCCCCCAAAACTAAATACAAATCTCATTCTATTTCCAGATCCAGCTACCAATTTAATAGAAATGTAAGAGAGGGAGAATCATGTTAATTAAATGACAGGAATGAGATCAACAAACTTCAGACTGTTGTAAATTCTACGTGATAAATTATCTTGAAACTTAAAAAAACATGGAAAGCACATTTTAAAAAGCAATCACGGGGGTATCTCTTCATTAAAAGGGACTTAAAAGTCTTTTTATTTAAGTCAAAATTAAAGTGAGAAAATGATTCTCATCAAAGTCAATTTAGTGTTGTTCCTAAAGACTGCCTAGAGGGCTTCTGAGATGGATGGCAAGCTTCTTTATCTGACAAAGATAGTATTTTTTTTTTTTATTGAGAGAGAGAGAGAGAGAGGGAGGGAGAGAGAGAGTGTGTGAGCAGAGATGCAGCACAAGGAGAGGGAGAGAGACAATCCCAAGCAGGCTCCACACCCAGCATGGATTGTGAGATCATGATCTGAGCCAAAATCAAGAGTCAGCTGCCCAACCAACTGACCCACCCAGGCACCCCAAACAAAGACAGCATTTAACAAGGATGCTCACCTTAGAATAATTCATTAAGCTGTATATGTGTTTTGTACACTTTTCTATATTTGTGTTGTATCTCAAAAGACCCTACGTTATCTAAAACCTGCTGTAAATGTTTTGTTTTTTTTTAATGTTTATTTTTGAGAGAGACACCGTGAGCAGGGGAGGGGCACAGAGAGAGGGGGACAGAGGATCCGAAGCAGGCTCTGTGCCGACAGCAGAGAGCCCGATGGAGGGCCTGAACTCGCGAACCATGAAAACATGACCTGAGCCAAAGTCAGACACTTAACTGACTGAGCCACCCAGGCGCCCCTAAACCCTCTTGTCAAATTTCCTGTTGGAACCCTCTTCAGAGTCCATCACGTGGCCACCATACACACTTTTAGCTACTTCTTTTAAAGACTTTCTTGGTGAAGCAGGCATATTTTCCTGTAACATTCTATCCACACTAGAAAGTTTCTCATTAATGTTTCCCAGAACGATCAATGGTTGATGCACACCCAGGAAAGATCTGAATAACACAACAAAGGATCCAAACACCGAGCCGACATTGGAATTAGAGCCCACAGAATGCCTGAACCAAGCCAGAGTAATTGCCGGCTAAAACCAAAAATATCAATACACCCCAAAATTTAAACAAAATCAAAAGTCTCGTAACAAAATGTTCATTCAAACTGTCCAGAACACAGTCCAAAATTACTCAGCATATGAATGGCCATGAAAATTTCAACGAACGTGGCCAAAGACAGTCAACGGAAGCCAATGCTGCAATGACAAGATGTTGGAATTATCTAACATATACTTTAAAGCAGCTCTTATGGAAATATGAAAAATCCCAAAGGAATAAAGAAATAAATGAAGTCACTCAACAAGGATTAGACATCGTCTTGTCCTCATATGAACTGCCTTTTCTCTAAGTCGAGGACAACTTTTATCAAAGACAAAAGAAATTTTTTTCACTCCTAAATTATACCACTTCGATTTTCTGCAACTGGTCCAAAACGTTTTTTTTTCCCCCACTTACTAACTCATCACATAAAGCCTTGAATACAAGTAGTTTTTTACAGTTTCAAGCTTTGTATAAATGTATAATATATATAATATATATATAATGTATAATATATATAATATATAACGTATCTCATATAATATATGAGATTATATGTGTGTATATACATTATTTTCTTCTTACCGTGCCTCCAATTTTAGATAATTCCATTTGAATGCTGTACTGTTTTTCCTTTGCCTTCTGTTTACTTTTTTTACTTGCTAAAAAACTCCATACCGTTTGCCTTTTCTTTGCTTTTTATTTCTTTTTTTTTTTTTATTTTTTTTTCAACATTTATTTATTTTTGGGACAGAGAGAGACAGAGCATGAATGGGGGAGGGGCAGAGAAAGAGGGAGACACAGAATCGGAAACAGGCTCCAGGCTCTGAGCCATCAGCCCAGAGCCTGACGCGGGGCTCGAACTCCCGGACCGCGAGATCGTGACCTGGCTGAAGTCGGACGCTCAACCGACAGCGCCACCCAGGGGCCCCATTTGCTTTTTATTTCTATCTTTCCTATGTATGAGCTTCCATTGTAGATTTCCACTCATTTTATTTATTTGTTTGTTTACTTATTTATTTTTAGAGAGAGAGAGAGAGAGAGAGAGAGAATGAGAGAGAGACAGTGAGTAGAGGGAGAGAGAAAGAATCCCAAACAAGCTCCCTGCTGGGCATGGAGCCCTACATGGGGCTCAAACTCACCACCCTCAGATCATGCCCTGAGCCAAAATAAAGAGTCAGACGCTTAACTGACTGAGCCACCGAGGCGCCCTTATTTTCTACCTTATTTACCAATGATAATACCCTGCATCTGTATGACACTTTAAAATGCGCATTGTTCTTTTCGGTGAAATTCACTGTTATTAACATTTACTAAGTTTTAACCTCATAATTTAACTTTTAATTCCATTTTCTTACGTTTGAATTTTTACTATTTGTGAACTGATATTTATTAATAAAATATGACTGTATATGTCAGTGAGATTCATTGTTACAAGGTTTATCCTCTGTCATCAATGGAACCGGACTCGACTCTCTGACATCTTTCCCTAACAGTTCTCCCTCCTCACTTGTTGGCACAAGTGTACCCAAGTAGCTGCATATTTTTACACCAATCGTAAACCTGCAATTTATAACCTCTAGCATTCCATCTCTCAGCCTTGAAAACTCTCTCCAAAAGACTGTCTTCCCTGTGCAGAAACCAGACCCGCATTACTGCTCTTATCTTACCGCCCCAATTCCCACAGTCACTGCATACAGACCAGCTTCTTACTTGGGTTTCTCTGCAATTCCACCGGCACACAGGCTTTCTCCACACAATTGCTATCATGCATTTTGCCCCTACATCACAGACAGCTAACAAGTGGCTTCAGATCGCTTCCAAGCCAAGAGAACCACCTCTCCTTTCGGTTTAGAACTTCCTCATTTACAAACCCGCCTCATGAAAAGAAAGGGGACCACGAGTCAGAAAGCAGTTTGCCTTCAGAGAAGGTGGGTGCTTAGCAAAAATTTCTTTTCTTTTCTTTCTTTTTTTTTCTTTTTTTTTTTTT